CCGTCTTTTTCCTCTGAAGGAGCGGGTGTAGGCAGTGGGTGCTGTTACGCAAAAATCGCGATAGAGTGAAGCCGCGGAAGTCGAAGCGCGAAGTGGCGAGGGTTCACTGTAATTGATTCTGCTGAATTTTACACACGGAAAATAATGGGTGGGCAAATACTGTGTTATATCCATAATGTACAGCAAGAAAACATACAATTTTCAAGAGTGGGGCTGGGAAGGATGAGAGGCAGCGGACTCCCCTGCTTTAAAAATTTTTATGGACTTGACAGCCAATCTCAACATGCGGGATTTAATCTTAATGAACTGCTGAAACTTTGTATGAGGCATGGAATGATTGCAAACTTTTGAGTGTGATTTCCACAAGGGTTTCGGGACTTGGGGTAACCAGATCTGGGGGCTTATCACTCTAATGAAGGGTGTGTGTGACTGGTGATGGCTTCCGTAGCACGGCCACGTCTAAGGAACATCCGGTGAGGGGCCCGCAGTCTCCTCTCTCATTGGACTTTGTATTTGCCCCAACCCAAGCCAGACGGGCTGCCATCCAGGCTGTTCCAACCCTATAAGACAGTGTAGAACTGCCCCTCTGCGTTTGATTGTACAGTCTGTGTGAGACAGCAACTCTTTTTCACGAGGAGAAAGCCCCATCGTTCTCCTGTGCAGCGGCTGGTGGTCTCGAACTTCTGGCCTTGCAATTAGTAGCCCGATGCACCACCCACTACGCCACCCAGAACCCTTCATTAGAGAGCATCTTGAGCCTCTGCCTCCCACCGGGCTTCTGTCCCGCTGGGCGCTCCCCGGGTGGGGAGGTGAAACAACGCAGCCATCGTTGTGAGCACGCGGCGGGTCGGGCAGTGTTTTGCTCTGTTGGACCCGCAGTTGCTATAAGTCGGAACGCATGGACAGTGACAAGAGTCGGCACACTGGCGACCGGCCACCACATGCCCCTGCTCATCACGTAGATTTCACCGTCAGATTCCTTGAGGCGTCCTAAGAGCGGGGTCCGGGAGCATGCTTTCTTTAGCAGTTGGGTCAGTGGCAGAGGCAGGCAGAGGGGTTCTAGCTCACAGAGCTGGGGAGATGTGGAGGTGCACTGTCACCCCGGTGTGCTTCCCCTGAGGAGGTAGGACCCGTGATCATGGCCATGGCTTTTGGACACGTTTGCCTCTGTGAACCACTTAAAAAAATTATATCTTCAACTGGTTGGTATAAAAGTGAATATAATCCGGACTGAATGTATTCATTTGATCTGATTTTCGATGAGAATGGCAACATTTCCACGGGCCTCTAAAACCGGCAGGAGCACTGTGCACAGTGCCCCATGGAGAAGTTGGTGCCCAGAGAGGGCAGCGGGGGGGTGGGGGGAGGCAGGTCTAGGGGGGAGTAGAGGGTGCCTGACTCAGTAGTTCTCCCTCTTCTGCCCACAGTGCTGGTGACCTCGGTTTACCCCCGGAAGCCTCAGGCCGTGGAGCGCCACGTCCTTCCTGTCCTTTGGTACTTCCTGAGCCACATGACGGGGAACGGCATCCTGCCCGGGCACGGCGGGAACGCGCGCGCGGCGGTGCGCCGGCTGTGCGGGAGCCTCCAGGGGCAGATGGGCTCGCGGCTGCAGGAGCGCGCCAGCGGCCAGCCGAAGGCCGTGCTGCGCGCACTGCAGGACCTCCTGAGCCCGGAGCCGCTGTGACCCCGCCGGACGACACGCGGGCTGAAGGCGCATCAGCAAGGGGCCACCAATATTTTTTATTATTTTTTAATGATGGGATCATCGTCCGTTATACATTCCCTTAGAGTTTCGGATGTATATAGTCTATTTTGAAGTAGAAATTAAATAATTGCTTATTTTTCTAAGGGTTGATGTTCTTGTACCTTTTTTTACCCCCACCCCCCCTCCCAACCTTAGAGAATGCTTGCAGGTCTAGGAACTGCGCAAGAAGAAATTGCACCAGACCAGTGGTTCTCAACCTTCTGAGGCCGAGAACCTTTGATACCGTTTCTCATGTGGTGGTGACCCCCCCAAACCATAACATTACTTTCATAGCTACTTCATTACTGTAATTTTGCTACTGTTATGAATCGGGCAACCCCTCTGAAAGGGTCCTTTGACCCCCAAAGGGATCATGATCCACAGGTCGAGACTCGTTGCCCCAGACAGTACCCAAACGGGCAAGGATGCCTGTATTGAAAGAGGATTATTCTAAAGGCAAGAAGAGAAAGAGTTTGAGGTTTGGGATAGAAGGCGGACCCCAGTAGGAGAAGGGCCACTCCGTGGCAGGAGGAGAGACCAGCTCCTACCCCACGGGGACAGAGACTTGTGAGGTTTGCAAAACAAAGTTAAGAGGTTTGACCATGGGTTGAGTGAGGGATCTATAAAGTTCACCACTCAGGCCATTTTGTTTGGAAAGCGTTCCCATGATAACGACCCAGGATTCTGGGAGCCCCACCCCACCCCAGGGAGGGAGGAGAGCAGAGGTTCTCTGGTCTGGTGGCTGGACATCGGGAAGAGTGAGCGAGAGAGGAAGACAGGGAGACGAGATGGGAAGAAGGCTATTCTAAAGTGTGTTTGGAGTGATGAGGGTCCAGCGGTCGAGTCCTTGTGAGAGACCTGGTGTCATTCCTGGCTCAGGCACCTCATGCACAGTCCCCAAGCACTGGTCCGTGGACGTGCCGCTGCTACACTGTGCTGCCGCACAAGTTTCAGTGGAGTCTCTAGACGGGAGCCCTGGTCGGGGAGTGGGTTACAGATTGGGCTGCCGACCACAAGGTCAGCGATGCAGAACCAACCTCCATGGGAGGCAGAGGAGGCTTTCTGCTCAGAGTTGCCGTCTCAGAAGCCCACAGGAGCAGCTCTGCTCGTCCCAGGGCGTTGCTGTGAGTCAGCATCCACTTGAAGGCAGTGAGTTTCCTCTCAACCAGCCGGCTCGCGGGCCATAGGCTGTTCTTTCGAGAACCATACCTCTATGTTGACAGAATATTTTTCAGAAAATGGTCATGTCATTGGTCTGTAAAACTAGAGTTATAGCTCTTGAATATTTTTTAAACTGTTGTGAGGCGCGGGATTGGATCTTCCATCTCAACCATTTGCCAACCCCTGGTCTTGGCTAAGACCATTGAGAAAGAACCATGGGGGTCACAACCACCTGATCCCCAACCAATGATGGGATAGCACAGGAACCCACGGGGTGGCAGCCCCCCACAACTCAGATGACTGAAAGAGAGGGGGTCTCTCCATCCATCCTGGTTGTTTGTCCATCTGTTGTGCTGCTGTGTGCAGTTCTCTGCAGCAAGAGGGTGGGAGGCTTTCTTTAACCCCTGAAATGAAAGTAGACTATGTGAATGGACCCTCAGGACTCTTGTCACTCCCATCCGGGACCCGGGCCTGTTTTGTTCAGCCGAATCCAATCTACGTGTTACCGAGGTGAGGGGAACAGACGTTTCTGAGTGAGTTCTGCTGCCTGTCTGGTCCCACGGGGTCTGCCTTGTTCATCCAAAAGCAGAGAGAATCTCACAGGCACCGTAGGAAAGCCTTCTCTAGGTGCCGCATTCTGGTGGATTCTAAAGAGCGCGCGCGGTGCTGTTGCCCCCCTGAAATACCACCCGAGAATAAAGTGCTGGCAGGACACACGGGCTGCGGAATCAATCGCCAGCTTCCTCCAACAGCACTGAGCTAGAAAGTTGGTGTGTAGGACACAGGGTGGACCAGGACGTAGAGAAAGGGCTGTCCACTGATGGCACATAGAAAGGGGGTCCTGGCCGTGGCAAGGGGGCAGCCTGGGCTCTGCACACAGTAGGACTGGTCCTGCCTTGATTGGGGCCAGTGTGACCTCAGGCCGTTCCCTGGAACATCTGGGTGAGGTAGGCCTGGTGAGGAGAAGTCTGGGATGGCCATCTTTAGTACAGGAGACCCCAGGCCCATACCAGATCCAGACCTGCTGGAGCCCTGAGGTCCAGCCTCCAGCCAGCAAGTGACTGTGTGCCCCTCTTCCCTGACCCCCCCCACCCTCACACCTGACATGGCTACCACATCACTGTTCAAAGTCTCTCTGAAGGAGTCTGACCCGGAGCAGACTAGGAAGCCTCTAATGTGCTCGTTTATATATTTCCCAAGCCCATGGAGGTCGTGGGCTGGGGGGCCTCCTTTCTTTCTCTGCTTGAATGAATTACCAGGTGTCACTAGGGGCCGGGGCCCCTTCTCATGCCTGGGGTGAGCTTGGGCCCTGCCTCATCACCCTGGCATTTGAGCTTTTAATAGGCAGCTTCGGTGTGACTCTGGGTAATTCCATTGCCCACACAAGCCACTGCTCACCTCATGGAAACCACATAGCTGATTTTCCAGGCAGGCCTGTGAGTGAGCAAGGCAGAGGATTAGACAGAGATGCCCAGGGGCTAGTGTGAGTTCTTTTACACAATTGAACTAGTGTGTCTGCCTGTCATCTGACAAGCATTTCCTGCGAGTCAAGAGCCTAACCGCCTCCTGCCTATTCATTGGCATTGTGGTGGTCATGTGTGGCTGTGATGCCAGGACGCTGTGCCACCGATATTTCAAACACTAGCAGGGTTGCTCATGGTGGATGGGTGTCTGAAGGGTTTCCAGAGCAAAAGAGACTATGAAGAAAGCCCTGGTGATCTACTTCTGAAATGCAGCCCACAAACTGCCCCTCCCCCCCACCCGCCCCGTGGATCACAGCAGCCTATCAGAGGGCAGGCAAAATGCACAGTGGCTGCAGCCGTGGGAGCAAGGGTCCCGGCGATCGTGAGGATGGCGCATTTCATCCTGTCGTCTAAGGAGGGGAGCGATGGGTTGGCACTGACCCAACACGCAACAAACCACAGGGAGACCCCGGAACCTATCAGCATCTTGCAGGCATGTTTAGATCGATGCCCAAGGACATAGAGTTTGGCAGGGACATTAAAGACAGAAATTCTTGTCTTCCTGTCTGGCCTCAAGCACTCAGGGAGTTTCCCCTCCATTGTATTCTGCACAGACCCACCTGGCAGGAGATGTCTGAAACAGCAGTTGAGAGGCAAAGTCTAAATCTTCACCTGGGTTCGCTGTGCCAGCCACGCCCCTGGCACTGTTAGGGCTGGGTGGTTCTTGTGTGCCTTGGGAGATTTCATCGCTAGAGATTTCCCGATGCTTTTACTTTAAAGCAAGGGACGGGCAGGGCATCTGTGAGCTGGGCCTGGGCCTGTGGGAAGTGGCTCATATGGAAGACTTCTCTCTCACGTGAGACTAGTATGAGAACACGTAGCTGCTAGGGTTGACTTTTGCATCAAGTGGCACCAAGTGGATAGTTTGAGATTATAGGAAACATTTTCCTACACCTTTTCTACAGCTGAAGTTTTAAAAAATCTGGATGTCTTGGTCCCTCATGAAGAGATTCTGTTAGTTGGAATGAGGGCTAGGAAGCTACAGTTTCTTCTTCTCCTTCTCCTTCTCCTTCTCCTTCTCCTTCTCCTTCTCCTTCTCCTTCTCCTCC